TTCACCGTCAACTTTCAATAATAAGGAGCGAATAATTAATCGTGTTGAGGACAAGACATAAACGCCATTGCTTTCTCGCAGCATCACAACGGCTTATTTTAATTGTATGATGAATATTAAAACATTTGCCTAATTCATTATTAAAGTGCGCAAGTGTGGCATTATTTATGAGCTTAAGTTGTGAATTGCTAAATTAAGTTGTATGCCGCTACTTTTACTTGGACTGGCTGGGAGGTAACCGTATAGAGGTGAGAAATAACACGCCAGTTAAAAGTGGTTTCTTCCTTTCCGTTTATTTGAACTGTGCAAACTTTTGATACCTGCAGATTATTCAAAGCAGTTTGTGGTGGTATTTGAATGTGTTTATGTACTGTACTTTAATACATATCTGTATGTATGTATGAATTTTAGTATGAGGTTTGGAATGCTTGTGGTAGTAGGCACACAAATGAGTACTTGTGTATATCAGCCTACTGGTACTCTAACTACATATCGACTGCTGAGTGGAAGATCGACCTAACTCGACAGCCGGTTCGAAAACGCTCTATTTCAAAAAAAAAACTTTTCAAAAACGTCCTATTTCAGAATTTGGTTGAAGAACGTCCTATTTCAGAATTCGTTTCAAAAACGCCCTATCTCAGCTGCCAAATCCAAAACGCCTATATCAGCACATTTTCAATACATTTTGAATGAGATAGGGCATTTTTGAATCGAATTCGGAAATAGGACGTGCTTCAACCAAATTCTGAGATAGAGTGTTTTTCAATAAAATTCTGAAATAGGGCGTTTTTGAAAAGTTTTTTGAGATAGGGCTTATTCGAACTGGCTGCCGAGGTAGGTCGATCTTCCACTCAGCAGTCGATATATTGAAAATAATAAACGTAAAAAACACTTTCTCCAAGAAAACTGGTAAGTAACGTTGAACTTAAGCTTTGGTATAATCGTCCCTTTCTCAAAGAATGCTTATGAATAGCACATCATTTGAAAGTTTTATTAAATAAGTCCGTTTCATGCGCGCACTTTTTTATTTGTATAGCATTAAAGAATCGACTTATTTAAGATAAGCTGATTTTGTTTTAGAGAGTAAAGTTTTCAATATAATACATACGTCCGAAAATAGGCATTATCGGAAAGGACTTCAAAGCCCAATAATAAAAATTTTTCTAACAAAGGATTCGTAGCCAGTATTGCTATCAGTTTCCATATCGATATATTTGTTAATATCGAATGCCAGACAGTTCTTTGGTGTCCGTAAACATTTTAGTATATTTTTTCTTTTCCACAGCAAGTCGCAAATTGAACCGCTAGATACGGACTTAGCATTAATTTTGGCAAGACGGAGCTCATATTTTTCGGCGCGCACTAAATTGGGCCCGATATAATCCATCTTAACACACTCCCTTCAAAGAGGTGAATGAGGGAAGGGCAGCCTCTGAATCATTTGAGGGATTCACAACGGTGTCGTAAGTGCGGTATTGTTGTATGTCGTAAACTTTAAAAGCTTAAATAAATGTTTAGAGAACTTGAAACCACAACCAACTATTTTTTAACACTGCGAAAATGCATAATCTAACTTTGATTGATACTTTTCGAACCCCCTTGATATATTTTTAGGCGTTTAAAGTTTACGACATACAACAATATGACACTTACGACACCGTTGTGAATACCCCAATTGTTTCAGAAAAATATTCACAAGTAGGTCGACAATAAATGGTAGAGGTGAAGGAGAAGTGGTCTGTCAGGAACTCCTAAGTTTAGGTTTCTAGATTTTCACAGCGTGTCTCAAGTAGTGGTGACCGCTATGAAGCAGGAAGTCGATTGGTTCTGTGCTAGTGCAATACAGTGCTGCCGTTTGCTAATTTTCGAGCGAAGTGGAAAGACACTAACGTCCAAGTGTTTCGGAGTGACTTGGGAGGAAAAGTGAAGTGATTATCGAAGTGACGACTCTCAAGCATAATTAGGGGTGTGGGGTTTTTCGATTAGGTTATTTATCACCTGATTGGTTAATCGATCATTTTTTTATCACAATAAAAGTAATCTCTAACTTTTATTAATTTATAATTTATTGTGTTCCTGTGCAAATTTAGTGCTGGAATATCTTTAACATCACAATGTCTCAAACGTAGAGGAAAGAAAAACCAAAATTATAGTTATATATTAACACTAAAATATATGACCGCAACTTTGTGTATGTATCCAAAACCAAAAGCAAACGAGTTGAATGGTGGTTACAAATGAAACTAGGCATTCAAACAGTTGGGCCACACACATCACCCAAGCTTTCTTATATAAGTAAATATACCCTGCAGGGAAACCACAACCAACAAACAGTCCGATATTCACTAGATCTCCAGCAGTCCAAAGGTACGAAATATGGTACGCTTAAAAAACTATTTTATTTTACTTTTTAAAACTACATATCGCTAGCTAAGAGTGAAAAGCTGCTGCTAAGTCCACTTTTTCTAAAAAAAATATTTTTCGATGCAGAAATCTAAAACAATTAGAAACATACAATTTTTTAAAAGAACATACTATGTACCTTTTTTCTGTCTAACCATTTCTGTTCTGATATATTTGTTTGGCGGTTTTTCCCCGTTCAAGTACGCTCCCATTCTGCACTTCGCAGACGCTTTTTCATAGTCTGGTAATACAAAACAAAATTTTGTGTTAATATTTTAATATCTTGGGACCTCTGCACCTCTGCATACTCAGCTACCATGGGAAAACCGAAAAGACTCTGTTTGAAAATATCATATTACCTTTTCGCCAGCCGATTTTATAACTGGTTCAGAACTATAGAAAAAGGGATGCAGAGGGAAGTAGATCCCATCTGTCTAATTTAGGACTGGTTCCGAAGTATAAAAAAGGTAATGCAGCGGCGACAATTTCCACTTCCTATGACATCGCAGTGTTAAATTCGACAGTTGTGTGCATGCGTAAGCTATTTACCGCGAACCAGTAGTGGGTCATATTGTACTAGAAGCCAGTTCAGAACTAGAGATTTCCCCACAGGTTATGTGCCTAACAATGCATGTATAATATGTATGAGTTGTTTAAGTAGATGTTGGAAAGCATAAATTAATTCATATCTGGACTTACGTATATGTACATTCGCTGCTGCTGGTGAAAACATAAATTCATATATACATATATATAGCTAACGAATGATCAGCAGAACATTATGACATCATATTTCTGCTACAATGCAGCTTATGTCAACTTTGTGTGAATTTGTGTGTTTACATTGATATTTGTACATATGTATGTACATATACGTATGTGTGTGAAAGCCTGGTTTGTTAAAGTACAATATGTTTAAAAGTTTAATTAAATGACATGGATATCGACCATACAGCTATCATCCAATTCATTCATTCATTTAACATCTTTTTTTTCGTCCGCGATCCCGCGTCTCTTTTGCCTAGCCAATCATAGATAAAGCTCATAAGTGTCGAATGAAGAGCAGTCGCCACACGCGATATTTGTACATATTACTTGGCAATATTGTTAATGTAATTTACATTTAATTGAATGGTGTATAACATTCCACAGAGAATTGATGGCGACAAAATTAAGGAGAGTGAAGACAAAATTTGAATGCTTATTTGCATAATTTGTTTGCCTCTGATGTGACTTCGCGTATTTTCATTTTTTGTTTTGTACATTTTTTATTTAACTCATATACATTTTCAAATGTTTAATTAAAGTCAAATTGTGTTAATTAAGTGAACGCACGCAAATAAGTTGATGAATCACATTTTACTTGTACGCTGGGTGAGCGTGTTAATGAATTAAGAATATTTAAGGAAATGCAAAAGGCAGACTTTGAATAAACGTTTTACATAATTTTATTAACTTAACCAATATCTTAATACACACAAGTAACGGTTAAAGCGTTTTGTTTGGCTTGGGTTGCTTCTGGATGCTGTTGTTTCAAGCTTAACCCTTTGAAGGTCAAATCGAGTATAGTAATTAATCTACCTACATATAACGAAATTGCGCTTTCATAAATTACAATCTATGTATGTACAATTCAAAATGAATTCTGTTTCTTATGGCCCCGAAAGGATTAAATATGTGCTTATCCTATTGTAAAGTTTTGTTGGCCTGATGACTTTCCCAAATTTTTCCTAATTTAAAATTTCTAAATTTTTAAATTCCCAAACACTTAAAGTTAAAAACTAGTTATGACTTTTTGAAAACTGAGTTTTCTTTTAAACGCGGGATTTAAAATTTTACCACAATTTCCACCAACTTTCCGTCGGATAAAAATTGTGTTGTTGCAGCAGCGTACAATTTTGGCGAATGCTACTCGGGTGGTAGTCCTCGGCCAGATACTCAGAACTCACCAGAGGTCAATTCGGTAGCTTTGCAGTTAGTGGGGTGCTTGTTAGTATTACCAGCCGGGTAGACTCATAAAAGTTTCAACAGGAGCTCTGAAGCCATCAGCAACATTAAGTTAAGATCCGATTTCTCCTTTGAATCCAACAGAATGTCGATACCCAAATCGAGCAGACTGTACTCTGTTTGATTAAAGTTAACTCACTTTAAAAAAATGATCAAAAGTGCCTTATTAACTTGAATTCATATATCAGCGATTGTCGTTTTTTGGAAATATTTAGTCCAAATCTAGTCATATTTTTACGACGGCAGTGTCAACTTTCGAAAAATAACGGAATTTTAAATCATCAAATCCAATACCTTCCATTCTTTTATTGCATTCAAATCAGTTGTGATACTAAAGAACATTAATTACATCAATCATAACCTCACTTAATTGCCTAACTTAATTGAAGATTGATCAATTAAGTATTCTGAAATTTTTTAACAAATCTAAACTTTACAGCAATTATGGTACTTTTTCAACACTTTGATTTCGTCGTATTTTTACACGCTTCCCCCATCCACTGCAATCAATTACATTTATATATATTAATCTCATATTTTTTATCTTTCACAAATGCACCCTCAATGTTGTTTTTTTTTTTTCATTTCAGCAATGGCGGCTTTCGTCCCGTGCTCAACGACAGCACTGCCAGCGTGGTCGCTCCTGGTGCGGGCACACAACGCACCACTGCACATCCACCACTCTTTCTGCCACCACATTTGGCCTCGCTCAGCTCACAGTTTACGCATCAGCCACTCTTTCCCGGTCTAAAAGGTAAATGCGATTAAATATTGCAAAGAAGAAGAAGAAGAGCGAAAAAAAAGTATTTTTGTTGCATGAAATATTTACTTATATTACATTTACATTGGACCAAAATGCGTGATTTGAAATCAGTCATTTGAAGGTGTTTACACTGCTTGATCCGCATTTGCTTTGACTTCTCATCAAATGAAAAGGGAAGACAAAAACAAAATGTATGTAAACAAACACTACATTTATTATATTGTTAACGCTTTTTGGACACAAAAAGGCAATTATTCTTTGATTAAACTAAAAATGTGTAAAGCTCTTGTATAAATTAACAATTTTTACACACAAATTTCAAAGATTTATTTATTTCGTTGTGTTTGTTTTGTGTTTGAAAAATTCCAAATGTCAAAGACAAACCAAAGCTTTTGTGGAACTTTTGTTTCTGAGTGCGTTCAATAAAATAGTACGGCAATTGGAACGCATTTGTTTCGTGATTTTGTGTAAATGCGTCGAAATGCGTCATTCTGGAAATGTGAATTTGTATGGAGAAATGCGTGATTTGGCCTCGCATTTGAGGTTTCTCGCCCAAATGACGCATTTGGGCTCAATGTAAATGTAATATTAGTTACCCACAGGGTTCGGATTTACCTCATTTTAGCCCCTCGCTCGCTCGTTAGTTTGCTCTGAGCTAGCGCAACTCACGAGCAACACGCGAGGCTGTTTGCAAATGAGCACTCGTTAAGTACGAGCGCACGCGCTGAGCAGCCAGCGAGCGAGTAAGCAAACGATGGCAGCGCAGAAGTAGAGCGGCAAGCAAGGAGGAAGACGGAAGATCATATGTACACAAATGTTTACATCAGATTTTTCACACTGCCCTTTAGAATGTGATAGAAACTTGTAGGTAGCCAGTGACAGAAATCTGTATCAGCCTTGCCAGTCAAATGATTTGTCAAATGATGGTCACTGTTCTTGCAGGGAGGGCCTCATTAGCTCTGCCCTCGCGAGGGCGTCGTTGCGAGCGAGGCACTCATTTGCAGCAGCAGACGAGCGAGGCGAGGCAAATGAGGCAAGCAGATTAGACAGGCAAGCGCGTTGTTTGGTCGGCAAAAATGTATGGGATAAAAATTGCAGCAACTAAGAATTTCGAGTAAAGGATTGTATGCTCGCATGCAGATATGTATATACATACATATGTACATATATACATACATATGTATATACACATATGTTTGTATATATTCTCATGCACAGAAGAATAGATTCGTGCTATTTGGACCAGTTTTATCTACTAGGTAGACACATATGTGCATACATATCTATGTAGGTATAATGTTTTTAATGTTCAATAATTTCTTATAAAATTTCAACTTATACACTTAGGTCTCTTTTTATGCGGTTCTTTTTTATGCGGATTTGAATTTATGCGGTTTTTTAAACACTTTTCGCTGTAGCGATTTTGCTTTTTTGAGAGCTTTTATTACTTTTTTCAATATGCAAGGGGCAATGCTTCTGATAAATAATTTGTTGTTGTATTCTTACATACAAGTCATTACTAAGTAATTTGACTAAGTAACTATGTTACATATGTATAAATGAGAACATAACATTTATAAAAACCATCATTTTGTCTTTCATTTCATAAATGAGTAGGACATCAGCATTTTCAAATGAATATTCCTGGTTTAGCCCCCATACATATATATGTATGTAGGATAATACAAACTACTATTTGATAATTAAGGCTGTTCCACATAGAACTTTCGCGTTGACTTTGTAGTTGGCGTTGGTTTGACAGAACGCACGTTAAAAGTATGCGTTCTACAATGAAGCTTGGCAGAGACTACTTTGGCTACTAAATTAACATATTAACGAGAAATAAATTAATATTTCGTATCAATAATAGCATGGAAAATATATTTCTTGCCTTCATTTGATTAAAAGGAAAAAACATTTCATTTAATTTTATTTATTTGCAACAGCTGGCGACCGACGCAGCGATCTTTCTGCTTTATGTTGGCCTTAGCGTTGCCAAATTTTGGATATGTGGACGGCTGCTTTGAAATTCGACGCCAACGCAACGCCAAAGTTGTTTGCGAACCGGTCTCTATTCTTTGTTTACGCAAATTTTCCCATGTCTACATATCCATATATACATGCATAAATATGTACACATGTTCTTGAACAACAGGCCACAAATAAATTTTTTCACCAAGGACTATATTTCATTCAGGTATACAGCATAACTGCTACAAGTAGAAAACTATTTTGGGGGTGTTAGCAAGTGTTTACTTGTTTTTTGTTTCTGCGGCACAAACGATTATAATATCTTCGTTACTTACTTTTCTCTGTAAAGACAAAATACATGCATACATAAATGCATATATACCAGAGCTGTGTAATGATTGAATCAATTGAGTGTGCATTCTCATTTTTTTCGTTTCAAAAATGTGATTGTTTGATTTAAAAAATTTAACAACCACTCTTGAGATTGGTTACAAATTGTAAACACAAAATATGTAGTGTGTTATGGAATGGTTGACACCCATTCACATAGAGAATGTGAATGCAAAAAAAGAACTCAATCATGTATGATTGGACGTTTATGGGAATGCAATCTGTCAATATCATTCAGTACTAATACTACTTGTTGTATCAGGGTTGAAATTTTTGTACTCAAAATGTGAAACCAGAAGATTGCCATCTCCCTCAAAATAAGTAAACAAATAAATATTTGGTGCTAAAATATTTTTCTAAGTGTTTGGCCGAACTTCTGCTGAAACTTGAGGCATGAGTTCTGATTTTATAAGAAGAGTTTTCAAGGCAGAAATATACTCGAAGGTTTGCCATTGCGTGCCGAAGGACGACTGCAATTTTGGGTTATGATCTGACCAGGTATTTAACCAAGGTCCTATGGAGTGGAAGTACGCACATGTAATCACTCTGCTACGGCGGCCGCCGTAAGTACATGCTATACATATCGTCGTTTAAAGTACAAAACCGCGTATCAAGAAAATGCAAAACCGCGTAATTGCATAAATTATTTTCTAGAGAGTAAAGTCACCCATATTTCAAAATGGTTATCTTTTTTATAAAGCAAACGTATTTCTGGCTAGTATATTTCAGGACGAATGGATAAGAATTGAGCCAAGAGCTTTTGTGAGCAAATCCAATTTTTGGCAGCCAATGTCAGTCACACGGTTTTGAAGAATGACGATACGCGGTTTTGTACTTTAAACGACGATATATATGTACACATATTAGATTATTTATTCTCAAAATGCATGAAAACTATAGTATGCTTGCAAACAATTAATAACATTTTGTGATAAACAGTTTTACAAATGTATTTGCACTTCAAATTTGTATTTTAATAAAGTATTAATTAAATAAATTATTATTGTAAATTATTATTTTAATAAATAGATATAAAGATATTTATACTTGGCAACTCTTGGACTTTTCTTCATTTGTAACAAATGACAGATGTATACAAAATAAAAAAATAATTGTATTTTTCAAATTTAAAGCAAACGGGCGTTCTTTACAAAAAAATGTAGTTAGAGATCGAATTGCGCATATTTTTTTTACAATATCAAGTGCCCACAAGAAGTGTTAAACCCATAAATAGCTTAAAAAACGCTTTCGAAAATTCGACACGAGAGTGAAGTGCAGTGTTCAATTATGATCGAAATTGCAGGCAAAATTTGTGCGTATGTAATTTATGTTTTACTTATTTGAAGAAATGTTGCCCCTTGTCATTAAAAATAAGCAAACCAAGACCCCCGCGTCCCACTGGTTACATAATACTTGAATAGCCCCTTAATTAACATGTGTTTGTTTTGAGAACGCACGGCCAGTTAAACAGGCATGTCTGAATCGATTTCCTTCATCATTCTTAGCTATTTGATGTGCATTTTTATTGTTATGTGTTGCAAACAGACATTTTAGGAACTAAATGGGTTCTAATCTATGTACTCAAGCGCACTTATTTTTAACAGTTTCCAGTTTATGTTATATTAATCAAAACAGCTTTTATTTATTTTATGTATTATGTGATTTCTGGAAGCGTTGAATACAAAAAAGGGCTGTGACTGGGTTTATGTAATTTGAAATTGTGTTGATGATTACTAATAATAATAGAAAGGCGCTTACATATCGACACAACTAAAAATTTCATATATTTCAGTAGAGCCAATTAAAGATTTTTTGTTTCGTAATTTAGCAATAATATGTCTTGGAACGTAATTATTCCGGATTATATGCAGTCATACTGTAAGCTTTCAAATTATGTATTTTTCTAAACCTGAAATTTTGAATTGCGCCGTTATTGTAGAGGACCATCGACATATGTTAGTGTTTGGCCGAGCTACTCCTCCGATTGTGGCATGCGCCTTGATGTTGTCGCACAAAGGGAAGGGACCTACAGTTTTACGCCGACTCCTGCCGGGGGCCGACCACTATTAAAAAACACATTTTCTTTTTTTTGTTGGCCGAAAATGGGCTCGGACGCTCACCCTGCGGAATGGTAATGCGCACTTCTAACCACTACACCACGGCGATCGCCTAATTAATTTTAATCATTAATCGCGATTAAATATTTATTCGTTAATTTTTAGTCATTCATAGACTAACATTTTGTCGACAATACTCGCATAAGATAGTCACAAATTTTCACAAAAGAGAAAAGTGATTTTCTTCAAAACTTTTGAATGACGTCTTGACTGAACTTACTAATTCGGAATTTCTACTATTACTTATAGAGTAGGCTATTCATAAAGTCTGGGTAATGAAATAAAAATTTTTCTATTTTAAGTTCCATAAATATAAGGAGACTTTTATTGTTTAATTTATTTTTTGCACATAAACTTGTATCTTGAACTTCTTTTTCCAAAAAGTGAGGATGTCAAAATTTCAATAGATATCGGATGTACGGTAATTTTCCAAAGAGATCTCCTAACAGATAAGTTCATGAAAATTGTTCCAAACGAAAACTTAAAATTGATAAAAAAAAATAATAACTAAATTTAACTAATTTATATTAGAGGTTTGAAGTTTATCCCACTGTAAGTATGAAATCTATCATCATATCAACAGCCTGACAATTAAGAAGATTGTGACGTTTCATGCTACCATACGCAATATCTTAAATCCTTCAAATTTTATTATTAACCTTTTGTTTGTTAAAAACATTTTCTTCTTAGATTCGAAACTTGATCAAGCAAAATTGCCTTTGTTTTTGACTAAGAGATGCTCAATAAGCTCAGAATTGTAGTTCTCATTTGCATACATAACAATAAATTATTAATTTTTGTTTCACACGAACTCCAATATTGAATAGTAAAATATATTTTAATCTTACCCAAATAAACAACGATTTAGTTCAATCGTCAACCACATATAGAGTATAGGGTGGTAATGTGTTAAAGTTTTAAAGTTTTTAAACGTAAAATGACGGCTAATACCTTTTTAAGCGTTTTGTAATTTAACCAAAACTCATTAGCATCCACTCAAGCAAGGAATTATTTACTTTTCAACATGCATTAGCAGAGTGCACTTCTATTTTGTTTACAATTTGGTTGTCAAACACACTACATCGGATCTTTTGACACATTTACCAGAATTTACCACCAGGTAGCTTCTGACAAAGAGATGACCTTACTTACTCTCTTATTTGTCCTCTCAGTTGCCAGAAAACCATGTACGATTTCCGGTAAAATCTGGAAATTCTGCTAAAAAATTTTAATTTCGGACTCATGCGGGTTTACAACTAAATAATATTGGGAATACTTTTGAGGTGTTTGAAGAGGGTTGCGACCTGTTTGAAACTAAATTTATTTATAATAATCATATTTTCGCCTTGACACTTTTGCTAAGTTTTGGCCGAGCTTCTCCTCCGATTTGTAGCGTGCGCCTTTGCTGTCACACAAATGGGAGGGACCTACAAACTTACGCCGACGCCGAACGGTGATACAATTTTTATGATGAGCTATTTTTTTATTAAAGACACTAAGATTTTTAAAATATTTTCACTAAAATTTTATCAACCTAAATGTAAAGCTTATGCGAAGTAGTTATCTAATTTAATGTAAATTTTAAACATTTTCAAGATAAAACATGAATTATATTTAAAACGTAAATGTTAATACAACTGTTTTATATATAATCCCAAACATATGATATAAAATCCCCTCTACCAAAAAACTTAAATTGGGTAACGCCGGTTTGAATTTTTACAATTGAGCAATTGTCAAATATCTTCATTTTTATCAAAAAGTTATTTACCAGGGTGGCTTTGAACTAATGATTGGTACTGAGTTAAAGAATGCACACACATAAAAGATTGCAGCCTTTTCAATACTCATTCAGTGTTAAACCTTTTTTTGATTGGGCATTGGTTTTTTCAATCTTGCTATGAATATGTTGATGTGTGAATTCATAACTGCTTTGAGAGAATGGAAAATTCAAAAATTTTAAACCTCAATCCTAAGCGAAGAATAAGTAATGAAAACTGGATAGAAAAAAATTGTTGATTTAAAATTGAAAATGATTTCACACTTACACAGCTCTGATATATACTAAATACGTACATACAAACATATATAAATATCCGTGTTATGTGTGTACACATGTATGAATATAACTCTAAAAAATAATTCATTCCATAATCTATGCTTATGTATGTAATCAATTTTATTTGTTGTTTTAAATGCTGCCCTAATATAATACTTCACATCGTCGTTTGGCGAGCGAGCCAAACTTCTCGTGCCTCGCCTCATTGCTGCTACGAGTACGATCTGCGAGCGCCTCGTTGTCTGCGAGGCATTGAGTAGGAGTTTGCTCACTCGCTCGCTCGAACTCCGAGTTTTTGCCCACCCTGGTTACTCATACAACAAAGCAGAGTACGTTACTGTTACTCGCGCTGAGTTAAGCGAAGCGCACATTGGCGCGATTCTGTCGTTGCGAATTCGGCTGTTAACTTCGAATCCGCAAACGTGCGCACACTTGAGCGATTTTTTCGCGTCGATTTCCGATGTACAATTCACTCAATTTTCCCTTTATTTCGTGTATTTTCGCACTCGGCGTGCCCAAATCGTACAAAATACTATTATTACGAACGTTTTTATTAGTTTTTGTACATTACACGTTTTTTTTCTTTGCCTTTATTGCTGTGACACCTTTCTTCTTCTTCTTTGACGCCTTCAAAACGCTGCAAGCCGCGTTTCGAACGCGTCAATAGAGAAGAACATTGAATGTTCGAAAAATTCGCAGCGACGGAATCGTGCAAGTGTGCGCTAGCGCATTAAAATGTATGGGTAGCATTGTTGTAATTTTTGGGCTTGCGGATTCGCAACGACAGAATCGCGCCAATATGCGCTTCGCTTTAAAGTTGGTAGTCAATAAGACCGAGTGTATAAATCTTGTTGGTGAACGACGGTTGTGATCTAACTTATCGATTATTGATGTAAAATAATGTATTTGTAGTTAACCAATTATGGGTAGAGCGGCTGGTGACACCCCATCGCCCTCATCGTGTTAAAGTCTGGATTTCAATCTGTGACGCTGTACATCAACAGCTCGTCAAGCTTAGTGATATGGCGAGACATTCCGTACCAGCATAAGCCGGCTGTCGATTTATTGATGGCTGCGGCAAAGACAGACTAATATATTTTAATAGAATTAAAGTTTGACATAAGAGAGCCGGACAGATTTGCATTACATATGTATATGTACATATAAAGATAACTTAAAAGCAATTTTATTCACCGCACTCCTCCCTTTTCTACTCTCTTTCCAGGTGTATCTCAATTCCCGGGTCTCTGCTCGTGCTGCTCCCTCAAACCACCGCCGCCACCACCCAGCGCCTCTTCGGTGGGCGCCGCCGCTGCAGCCGCCGCCGCTGCAGCCGCCGCCGCTGCAGCCGCCGCAGCTGCTGCTGCCGTCTCATCCTCCTGCTCCTCCTCCGTCTCCGTCAGCGCCGCCAACGTGCCCATAACATCTACCGCTCCCTCCGCCAGCAGTTCGCCTGATTCGCCACCGAACTCTATATCTTCGATTGGTGGTAGTCAGTCAGCAACGCATAACAATCACGATGCACGTTCCAGCTCGGTAGCCGAACTGCGTCGCAAGGCGCAAGAACATTCAGCCGCATTGCTGCAATCGTTGCATGCCGCCGCTGCAGCTGGGCTCGCCTTTCCTGGGCTCCATTTGCCGCCGCTCTCATTTCATCATCATTCCGCTGCGGCGTTGAGTAATGCCCCCGCTGCTGCTGCAGCAGCTGCCGCCAACAATAACAACAATCACAATAATAATAACAACAACAATGGCGTGCGTCTGAAAAGTGAATTGGCACAGGATATGACCGCAAGCACCATAAATGGCCTAGCAGCTGCGGCAGCGGCAAGTAATCATCACCACAGCATCGCCAGTTTGACGCTGCTTGATGCGCAGAGCGCTGCATATCATCATCATCAGCAGCAGCAACAGCAACAACAGCAGCAGCAGCAGCAACATCAAATGTCACAAGCTGTGTTGCATCTACAGCAGCAACAACAACAACAGCAGCAGCAACAACAAAATCAACTATCGCCTCCTATAACGCCGACGCACACGCCCACCAACCATCGCCAAGATACGCCGCCAAAGTTTGCGAATGGTGGAGGTGCAGCAACAATTGCTAGTAGCATCATCACGAAGAGCGAATAATAAAGAGAGGAGGAGACATGAGCGTGAAGAGAGTGACTCAAAGATGATGAGCCAAGAATAGAGTAGATACATTTGGAATAATTTGTAAAATATCTGAGCTGATCTGCGTGCTATGCCAATGCATAAGGTTTGATTTACTTTAATTAAGGTAGTTAGTACAGTAGTCTCCGGCTGATTGGGCATGATAAATTTCACGCATTTCTAAGTTTAACGGGGAACCCAATTTACAGGATTCCGTCAAAAGGAAGCCCAATTTTTTTAATGAGTTATTGGTTGAAAAAGAGGGAAAATCATGCAAGCGGGAGTCAACTAGCAGGGGCATACTGTACTAAATACTTATAAATACATTAGTAGTGTAAAAAGTAGTTCAGTTTTACATTAGAAATAGAAAGAAGAAAGAATAGAATAGAAGAATAGAAAGAATATCAAGAAGAATGTTAAGGAAGTAGTATTTAAATGTTAAGGAAGTAGTATTTAAAAGTAAGTAAATATTAAGCACCTAAGCAAAAAAATAAAAAATTAGAATTAATTTCACCGCAATTTATTTAAACGCTTTTTCAATAGTAAAAAATTTAATTTTTCGTCGATTATTCCTGCTTTCTACCTGCACCCTGATGAACCGCTGCACCAGCATTGTACAAATTTAATTTATCTCGCATCGACGCAGAGCAAATAGCATCCTCACCAAGTTGAAACTCGTTGTACATGTGGTTAGGACTGGGCACTCTAGGCGATAGTTAGATAAGATCAATCACTTCCTATCATCTGGGCGTAAAAAATGTTGGCTTAGTACCCACAATCAATATAAATACTTAGCCATCTTGACAGAATACAATCCCATAGCCGGTATCCTCTCGTGTAGCATTAGCTGCTGTCCCAAATTTTTTGCTGGATCAATCCGAATTTTCGGTTCTCACAGTATTCCACAAGACTGGCCGCCTTCCTCGGAGGTGGTGGCAACAAAGAGTCGTATGGAAAGTACGCGGAGGCAACAATGAAGTGTTTCCACCTATTTTTGCCCTTGAAGCCCAATCTCGCTGTTTTCTAGTCCTTTCAGAGGAACTGTGCAAATTTGGCCGCAGTGAAGTGAGAAGATACTACATGCAACATGTCCGAGTTTTCGTAAACCACACGGTTCACAGGGTTTTTGTTTGAGCACCCAGGGCTCCAGATTGCTGCAAATTTAGCTGAGTATCCGTCACTGGGCGCTACCATGAATCGCCTTGACCATTCATTTGGGATGAGGCGCTTCCAAAAAAGAAACTCCGGCGATTCCGTTCTCTAATACTTTGCCTTATAGTTTCAGATACTCATCTTCCATTGATCAGCTTTCACCAGCCAGCGATTTTGGAGCTACCTCTTCTATGTAAGTGTACCATGCTGATGGCTCACAATGGTCTTATAGTTCATTAGAAGTTCAAGCTCTGCGTTATACCGCATATTATATGAAATGATAATTAGTATCGTGCTGTGAATTCAGAATCAGTAGTACTGGTAAGCTCAACTCCTACATATTTGAAACTTTGTACCGACTCAAAGAAGAGGTGCCCCACATTGAGTCATAGAGCATATCGCCAAAAAGGTAGAAGCCGTTATTTCCAAGACACCAATTCCTCATCATACATCTTTCTAGATGGGTCAAGCCCATATGCTAAGTCACCACGCTTGTTTCAATTTTATTTTCGTTTAACAACTTCAATGACATTCCGCCAAAAATCAAAGTTAGGGCGGTGCAGATAGGCGAGAAATTATCCATCAGCTCACACTCTTTAAGGCAGGAAGGGGAAATAGGTTTGTGAAGTATTTCGATCGTAGTCAGATTTGTCTGTCAGGAAAAGTAAACCGTCAACAGTCCCACAAGTTGTCTGTAGTCACATGTGCTCAATGAAAGCAATGACCTAGTTGGACCTTCTGAGATAGAAGGCAACCTGAAGTTTTCCCACCAACATCAGTCCCTCAATGTCTCCCAGTCATTTCTGAGTAAGGCACTTACCAGGTTTTTGTTGTTTCGTAAAATGACCGGAAGTGAGAATGGAATACCTCAACGGATCACCCTTATGGTGATTTCGTTTCTACCAAAAAAAATTCGCCTTTTGATTGCCCCTTTCACTTTTCGTCTTCGATTCTAAATTAAAGGCAAAAGGTGAGAAAATTGTGTGTTCGTTTCTTAATATGTCACACTCGTGTAATGCAAAAAAGGCTCATTTTCTGCCCTGTGAAGCTTTGTCAGGGGAGATGGTTGCCCTTAAAATGAGATGGTTGTTTAAAACAACAACATTACGAAATGCCTGAGCTAGACGAGGGCATGAAGGCAAAAAAATGCTTTCTTACAGGGTTGGGAGTATGTAATATCAAACACATTTAGCAACGAAATCACCATTAGATATTAACTCCAGATCCTTATAGAGAGTCATTTTCAAAGCCATAGGCCAAGATTCAACAAAGTGTAATCACTTCCCCAGTGCTGGATTAAAAGCGGCATTTTGGCTCAGGGAATTAAGCGTTGAGCTGTCTCTTCAGAAATGGTAATGTGGACGTCCTATTATGGGGCATTGAAAAGGCACTTGTGCCTAGCTCGCTGCCACCAGAAATCTTCGCCTCGTTTCACTCAGTAATACGCATGCATCTCTTTTAAGTCCACCCCAAGTATAAAGGCATTACGTCTAAGCAGATTTCACACCCATTTATTGACTGTCTGCTCCGCCATACCACACCCGGAAATCGACTTACATAAAAATAACTTTTCTTCGAAAGAAATCTGGAAAGTGGCTCATTTAAGGCAACAAAGCTGTCCAACCTTAGCCCTCAGAATTTTCACTCTCCTGCAACCAACCCCTAGAATTATAGAATATAATATTACGCATTCCTCCGGGTTCCCCTGTCCCTCTACATCGTGGTTTTACCCCACCACCATCCAAACAGCTAGGCATGGGTAACTCAGAAAAATTTTTGCGAGTTGCCTCAATGGCAATTTAGTGAGTCCACTGATTTGAAACTAATTTTGTCACATTTGATATTGAATGTTGAGAGTATCAACGCTCCAAAAAGAAAAACCGGTGTTCTACATATATTTAAGCCGCGCTGACCATACTCAAAGCCCAGGAAGTAAATAGTTAGTCAAGACATGGCTGCTCTTAAGTGAATATTTATAATGCCGTGCAGTCTCCTTGACTTAATGGCTTGAATGAATTTATACCCTGGACGAGACCTTGGCTATCCAATAGGTAACTCAACGCGGTGTGTCACCCTAAAGCTTCTCACGATGCCGGATTATTAGCGAATGCGGTTCAGTTTTTTTCAACTTTTCGTTCAAAGAGCGAACGAAACTCCTCGACAAAACTCCTATCAAATAATCATTTTTTGCTTTCCCATTAGTTATCATCTTTGGACTATACTCCTTTTGGAATTATTTCGACTACGATACTGGTTTTGCTTTCGTTTTTTTTTCTATAAAAGGAAATCTCTTTACTATTAGCAAAACTAATTCAACGAACAAGTTACGCGGTACTGAATTGAAAACACCAACAGAGCAATGCTAAAAACCATTAATCTTAAATTCAAAACACGTTTTCACAATGCTAACAATGGATTGCATATAAATGAACGAAGAAATAATTGTAAGCATAAAATATGTAATTGATTACAGGCAATAATGTAAATAATTATTACTGATTTAAAAATTTAAAAAAGCGATACAATAAAAATGCGGAATCGACACGGAGAAGTACTATATTACAAGCTTTTATTAAGCTTCACCTGTGTGTAAACAAATCGTGCAACCAATTTTTAACCAGCTCCACGATGAGTTAGAGACTTGAAACTTCAAAACTGGGTCAGAACCGGATTACAATGCCATATGAAAGGTGAATTAATCCCCTAGGTGGCGCAGATGTCAAGATATTTGAAAACCCCGTATTTATAGTCCGATATGGTTCATATGTAGAACGTATATTGCATACATGAAATGAATGACTCCACAAAAAAATTTGCCCAATAGGTGGCGCATGAGTCGATACGTATGGAAAAACCGTATTTATGGTTCGATTTGAATCATATTTAAAATATGTGTATTATTAATTAAGTGGAGAGAAATAAATCCATAAAAAATTTGGCCTTAATGTGATGCGGGATAGATTTTTTTAACCACTAACAAAAGCTGGTCTTAAAATTATTATTTTTTAATTGCTTTTTTGTGTATATAAAAATTCGTAAGATTGTATGAGTGTAAATATGTATCCAGCCAGCAAGAAAACGTACATTTTACGAACATTATGTTTTACGAGGGATTCTCGTATCGCCAAAAAGTTAGAGAAAAGCTCGTAAATGATAAAACAAAAAAAATATAATAGAAAGAGGCTTGTAGTAATTTGTCAGCACAAGAAAAAATTTTAGTTTTGTTGACAATTTTTCTTCAATCACAATATTTTAAAAGTAAGTAGTTTGTTAAATATTCAATTTAAGAAAATTATTAAGTACGTGATTTATTGGCAGACTGGTGCAAACGAAAAGGACGATCTACCACTTTCTTTTGTAATTAAACTTCGTGTAAGTAGCTACTACATATGTAATTCAAAAATACAAATTAATTTAACGAGTTTTGCAATTCTTTCACAGGCCGCGCGGAGCAACACTAAAGGATTTAAACGTTTAATTCCCCTATAGCGCTATTGGTTTGGCAACGACTGCGGCAATAAGAAGTACGGATAATAATATTATTTATTACCACTTTTTACTTAATTAAATTTTCCGATTTCCAATGGAGTTTAATCTTTCACTTTATTTTCTTAGGTGCTTTTCGTCAAAAATTTAACTCCGACAAAGAAGTTTTTATTTCCGTTTCAAAGAAGCACTTCCAATATGCACACGACCGGCAAAAAAATTGGCAGCCTATCTGCAAAAAAAAATAAATTCAGCTACTTTATAACATATATTAAACCCCTCTTATTTAATTGTTAATTTGTTAATAGATAGTTTGTTAATATTTATTTATCTGAAAATATCTTCACATATACATATGTACAGTGCCGGGAAAAAATATTGGCACAGAGAATTTTTCGCCATGAATGCAAAGTTTTTATACCCTAGCGCACTTGTGCACAAGGGTATATTAATTTTGTTCACATAACGGTTGTTTGTAACAGCCAAAACGAAACGAGATAGATATAGACAAATGTATACATAAATGATCAGGTTGAAAAAAGAAATCGATTAAGCCATGTCTGTCTGTCCGTCTGTCCGTCCGTCCGTGTACACGATAACTCGAGCAAAAATTGAGATATCTCAACGAAATTTGGTATGTAGGTTTCCCTTAATCCAGGGTAGGTTGGTATTGAAAATGGGCGAAATCGGACTTTAACCACGCCCACTTCCCATATAACGGTAATTTCGAGAAATACGAAAACTGCGATATTTTAGTAACTACTGAAGATAATTCACTCAAAATTGATATTTACAATAATTTTTAGACGAAAAATAAGAATATTATAAATTTTTGGAAAATGGGCGTAGCCACGCCCACTTATGGTTACATGTGTATATCTTGGTAACCGCTGCACCAATTTCTTCCAAACTTCGCACAGTTGTTGGCCTTCGCATAACATACCAAATGGCCGAAAATTTTTAAAATCGCTCAATAACCACGCCTACTTCCCATATAACGGTAATTTTCAGGAATACGAAAACTGCGATATTTTAGTAACTACTGGAGATTATTCACTCAAAATTGATATTTATAATAAGTTTTAAACGAAAAATAAGAATATTATAAATTTTTGGAAAATGAGCGTAGCCACGCCCACTTATGGTTACATGCGTATATCTTGGTATCCGCTGCACCAATTTCTTCCAAACTTGGCACAGTTGTTGGCCTTGGTACAGCATAAAAAACCGCCGAAAATTTTTAAAATCGGACAATAACCACGCCCACATCCCATATAACGGTAATTTAGAGAAATACAAAATCTTCGATAAATCATTAAATATTGAAGCTAATTTATTCAAAGTTGATGCTTGCAACAATTCTTTACCAAGAAATACGTTTATGGTAAAATTTTGGAAAATGGGCGTGGCACCGCCCACTTATGATCACATATAAGTATATCGGTAACCGTTCTACCAATTTGTACCAAACTCGGTATGGTTATTGTACTTGCCACGTGTAAGCAAAACATTGAAAATTATTGAAATCGGACTAAAATAACGGCCGATTCTCATATAACGGTAAATTTAAGAAATGCTTGAAACTTCAATATTTCGAAATTGAAGGACGCTAATTTACTCAAAATTGATACACCTCGGCTTACCATCTAGCGGAAGGTTTCGGAAGGGTGAAAAAACATATATTTAATACTTGCGCCGGGTATTTAATGTTCGGCTCCGCCCGAACTTAGACTTTCTTACTTGTTTATTCTGATTTCTTCACTAAATGTTTTTTATAAAAATATAGTTAGTATGAAGTTCTACTTTCAAATCAGCTTTTTTAGAAAAATTCTAAGTATGCAGTTTTATAGCCCATTTAATTTTAGTATAATAAAGTGCACGCTTGAATAGTTAGAAAACCTCTTTGTTTTTTGGCAATTTTTTATACGCAGTTTCTTCCATACAAAAAAAAAAAATGTCGCACATAATTTGCATGGAAGAGCATACATACATGTGCGAAAAGAAACTCAAGTAAAAAACTTTGCATACATTGCGAAAAATTCTCTGTGCCAATACTTTGATCCGGCACTATAAATATTTATTAATTATAATTCCATTCAATAAAAGAACTACAATAATTTTAATTAATTAATTGCCTTTATTTTTAGCATTCAAAAACAGTAGATAAAGCAGTGTAAAAAAACGCTTTTTTAACGTAAATTAATCGTTTACGAGACTCGTTTACAATTAAAAAACGGACGTAATATCCAGTTACGAGCTTGTTTCCGATGATTTTGCTGGCTGGGTAGGATCATAAATCAAATCAACAGTCAGTAAAGTAATTTTAAGTAAACGCACAATACATCGTCAAGCAGAAATAAGTAATAAATTTAAAATAGTTTTAACTTATCTATTAAAACAAATGGCTTCGGCCAATGGTATCACAACAGGCTTTTCCAGCCCACGTGTCTCTCTGCGCTCTGCGCGGGGCTGCCACTCCAACCTAACCTAACCTAACCTATCTATTAAAAAAAAAAATATATCAACAATGTTAAGATAACTGCATTAATGCCACAAGAAGACATTACAAAAGCAAAAAGGTTAAAGTATGGAGTTAAGGTTGGAGCAGGATAACGCCAGAAGTCTAAATATTACTGAGTAATTGCAAAATAATTTTGATTAAATAGCCAATAGTAGCGATAAAAGAAATATATAAATAAATAATAGGCGCACTCAAGGGGGGTTTTGGGGTTAAAGCCCCCTAAATGTTTTTAAACACAAAGTAACGCAAAAAAAATTTCCGACATAGTCAAATAATTAAGGGCCGTTTTCTCAAGTAGCTTATATAATTTTTCTGCTCTTTAAACATAAATTTAAAGTGCAGATAAAAGCTACTTGAGAAAACGGCCCTGAATATTTTGAGAGTAAAGTATCGAAAATTCCATAGAAATGTCATATTTCCATTTGACATTGCTCATATCAACTTTCTGTCAACACCTGGTATTTTTGCCCTCTATCAACACAAATTTTACAACGCTTTTATCAACTTGCAATGTTGTGCGTCCAGAAACTTTCAATGTTGTGGATCCAGAAACTTTCAATGTTGTGTGTCCGACACCAAAGCAAAGCTTTGAAAAGTTCCTATAAAAAAGCATAGTGCATAGGGCGACAGCTGTAGTGAATAGACGACACGCCATTCCTTTAAATAAAATTAATTGGTGCTCGTTTGTATGTACATACATATGTAAATGCATGTGTGTGCACCTTTCTATTAATATCGTTGAATTATTTTAATATCTATTGCAAAATTTTATTCAGACAGGACTAAAAAGTAGAAAATAAATAATATAAAAAAAAACTTTTTAATATACAACGCTTTTATAAATGGACTAAAAAGTAGAAAATAATATTCTCAGTCCCATAGAATTTGTTTTGATAACTTTTGATTTTGAAATTTTAGCAAAAGTCATTATAAACAATCTATGAAATTGAAAATGAAAAGCGTGGGGCGCATGTAATACACTTGAATTGATATGAAAAGTAATGTATGTATGTATGTATGTGGGTATATGAATAACGACCGCTTAAAATCGATTTCAAAGTTCTACTTTCGCTGTAGAAATTTTAGGTCTACGTTATGTAGTATGACTAATGTCAATTAAATCGAATGCTTTGTATTGCATGCGCTCCACGTTTTTCATTTTCAATTTCATAGATTGTTTATAATGACTTTTGCTAAAATTTCAAAATCAAAAGTTATCAAAACAAATTCTATGGGACTGAGAAATATTATTTTCTACTTTTTAGTCCATTTATAAAAGCGTTGTATATTAAAAAGTTTTTTTTATATCATTTATTATTATTTTCAATCAGAGGCCGAGAACGCGTTCCGGTTTGTATTTAGTTCTGCATGTGAATACAAAATGTAATGTCAAGAAATAAACAGGAGCAAAGTATTGAGAACAGTTTGAACGGAAACGAAATGAGAACAACACGTTCGGAAACGTTTCTGTAAAGAACAAAATATGAACAATACTCATGGGAACGTTATCAAGAAGAACATAACGAGAACGAAACTTTCGGTAACGTTTTCAATGAGAACGAAAGTCTCCAGGAGGATCAAATAAGAACAAAAGTCTGGGGAACGTTCTGCCGGAGAAAAAATCTAGAACAAAATTTTAAGAACTTAACGTTAAGAATGAGAGGGGCATCTGCGTTTTAGGATGAAAAATCGCTTCAGTGAGAACCACGGATGTTCATTCTAAGCCAGGGGAAACTGGATCATAACAACCTCCAGATCGTTTATCATTGGCGGCACTGTCCACTTATAGAATAATTTTTCATTTTTTGTGCAAGAAAAGTTCGTGTCTTAAGTCTTTCGTTGACTTAATTTGCACAATTAACTTTTTACTTTAATTTTAATATTCAAACATTTCAAACTATTGGAACGCTATGAGAAAATACTATTCTCGCTTCCACTCTTCGCGCATAGTTCAAAGAAAATTTGTTCCCGTTCGTCCTCTGTCAGAAATTTCCTGAGAATTTAGTTCCCAAATGTTTCTTCGAGAGAAAAATCCTTAGACTTTTGTTCCCGTTTTGTTCTTTTCCAAAAAGCTCCATAGACTTTGGTTTCCATTTTATTATTTTAGAAATATTGCCGAAAGTATTGTGCGCATTTTGTTCTCCTTGGGAACATTCCATTCTATCTTCTCTAAACATTTCCGAAGATTTTGTTCTCATTTCGGTTTGAGTTTATAAGCGTTCTTGGGAACAAAACTACGAGAACCACATTTCTTTACGATCACACCTTCTGTTCTCGGTCCCTGTTTTCAATTGCTGTTTTTTTTCAAAAATTTATTGCAGTCCGGAATTTCTGGAGGCAGTCTACCATCTTTAATGGCTGGAACAAAAGCCTTATTTTTAGAGACTAATCTGTGCTCTTTTTGTCGAAGTCGATTGCTGTATTAAATCCCCTTCAAAGAATTTTTTGGGTGCGCCTCTGAAATACATATGTAGATTGTATTACACATTAAACTAAAGTCGACTCTAAATTTTATTTACAGCTTTTTAACATAATTTTCAATGGGATATCTGTCAAAAAAGCTGAAACTAATTTAAGAGTCGACTTTATTTTGATTAAAACTATGGGCCAAATATTTAAGTTTAAGATTCCAACTTAGCCAATAATTGATGCAAGTCAAGCGCTTATCAGCTCCAATGATAAATGAAAAAATAAGTAATTTAAATACATATGTATATGAATACCAAAATAGGTACATATGAAAATAAGTAATTATGTACGCGAATTCTATCACAATTAGAAAATTATTAAAAGTAAGAAATTATAGCCTTCAAATTATGTATATTTTTAACACTAGAAGTTTCACCACAAATAAGGCGCATATACATACATACATATGTACATATGTACTATTATGTGTATATGTAAGTTATATGTATTATATTATATTAATAAAGACAAAGCTAAAATAAATTCAAGTGATAAATTTAAATATTACAAAAGCGGATTTTCATTTTAAGCTGATCAACCATATTTTTATTTTGTGAATTTTTATGAAGGCAAGGCTTTTCGCAGCAAAGTCGATTGGCGGTATGCTGAACATTTTTTCCAGCACAGCTGTTGAAGTGGTTTTTACATATCTAGTACATTGGGGACCACCAAGAACTGAAACGTCTTATTTTAAAAGAGGAACGAACATACGCAGCTTGCTCAAAATATCCAGTAGTAACGAACATATGTATGTATAAAGCTGACAAGAGGAATATTATTCGGGTGTTCTAAAATATTTATTTCCAAACCAAACTTCCAAGCCTCAAAGCAAGCGGTGGCATTTAAAATTATTGGGCGGAAAATTCTAATATTTAGTTATCAAACTGCTATTTATCTTAATATTTTTTTTTATTTTAATTATTTGTTTATAAAAATATAGTATATTCTGTAACAAAAACCATATAATTCCAAGTGTCAATCTTTGTGGAACATTTAAAAAAAAATCAACAAACTTTCCTAAAAATTCCGAGCTTTATAATTCGATTTTTTAGATAATTTTAGTGTAATAAAATGCAAGTTTGAAGTGACTACAAAATACCGTTGATTTTTGAAAATTCATTGTTGAGTACACAAGAAACCTGTTTTCTATAAATCAGACGTGCATTGCAGAATACAAGTCGTAAACATAGCTTTTAACACCGAGAACAAAATGAAGTAAAATGAAGCAAATTCATCTAAAATGTGGCAAAATTCATCGGCTACCATATATAAAAAGACAAATAACACTGTGGGCCATTTTCTGCTCGCCGACGAATTCGGTCCTCTAATCTCTTCGTAAATACTCGCATATTATTTGCATCACCTGAGCTAAGGAAAATACTTTTATTTCGAAATCACAGGCAGGTACATAAACTGCGATGACACTTCTCCATAGTATCCAACAAAATTATTCAAACTGTAGAAAATATGTAGTGTATCCCTTTATTCCCTGCACTTTTGCTCGCATTCTTCCATTGTACCGAAACGATTGTCGTTTCCTTCACAGCCGTTATAAACAAAAAGCAAGCATTCATTTCTGCTGGCATCGTAGATCCATGAGGGTATATAAGTAGCACACTCGATTAACCCATCACCGTTGGCTTTAGGCGGTTGACCGCAAATGTCTGTTCGAAGTGAAGAAAAATTAATTTTTGATAAATTTGAGACAAATTGGAGACAAATTTTACGAGCATAAAATACACTGTTTTCAAACTTGCCATCCTTGAGAGCCCGCGTACAGGCGATCAACGCAAAAATAGCCGAAATAGCAATAATGAATTTCATAACCAAAATTTTATTGCAACAGTTTTGCGCGACTGCAGTTCAGATGTGTTTTTCTTCGCTCCGCGCTTATCTGGCTTTTTTAAGCGTTCTTTGTGAATTTTAATTCGCTTTGTTAGTGCGAAACTCATAATATACTGAGATAGTGACTCTTAATAATGTGAATTTCACTGACTCAATATTTATTAAATGTAAAAATATTCATACAATGCCTTGTCTTTGTGGTCAAAAAGTTGATCGTACACAATCTAAAGTGCAGTGTGCCGGGTGTAAAAACTTATTTCACCTCAAATGTGTTGGTATTTTCCAGGCCGATCTGGACTTCTTACTCTCATCTAATAAGCCGTTTCTTTGCAAAAACTGTATGGATGACCGTCGTTCATCTCTCCGCTGCCCTTCCACACCCGTTGGTTCGGGTGGGAGCACTAGTGCTAAAGAAGATCTTAATTCAGACTCTCTAAGAGATGTCTCAAGTGATATCGCTACTGAGCATGACTTTCAATTGAAATCTACACTGCTAACTGTGGTTAAAGAACTTTCTGCTCTCAGGGCAGAAAATGCTCATATCTTGTGTTTGCTAGGTGCTTTGCATGAAGACAAAATGCAGCTAATAAAGAAAAGTGATGATTTGCATGTAGAAGTTCGTGTTTTGCAAACTAAGCTAAGCGACAGGGATGCCGACGTATCGTCGTTGACTGCGGAGATAAAAAGCCTTCGCGGCATTGTTGACAACTTTACTGGCCTCAATGCAAACCGCGGTATTGCGGTTAACAAATGTAAGGAGATGATTGACAATTAAAATCAATCTCTTTTACGCTCTTCTCCATCATACCCAGCCGCCGGCTCTCTGCATGGGACTAATGTTACTGCTGCTCATGCTGAACAGTGTTTACCTACACCAACGGAAACTCCCTCATCTGCTCCGTCTACTATGTGCACGGTATCGAATGCTGGTCTGCCCCCCAATGGGTCTGCTAAGCGCATGGCGCTCAATACCAATGTTAGTTATGCTGCTGCTGCTGCTGCCGGTACTAACTCAATTAAAGCTAATGTTAACAGCTCTGTTATCACTGCTGCTGGCGCTGTTGTTGATGCCGACGTGGATGTTAATTCTTTGAATGCTGATATTGAATTTGTGCCTGATGCTGGTTCAGAGCCTGCGGTTTTTTCTGGCTCGAATGGTTGGAAAACTGTGCCTCATAAGACGAAAACACCGAAACGTCAACAGGTTGTGGTTGGTCGAAATAAAAACGCTCGACATTATCGTAAAAATGAAGTGGGTACATGTATCCGCTTTTAAGCCGTCCGTTTCTACTGATAAAATCATCGAGTATGTATCTAAACAGTCCGGTATCGACATTAAACATTTTGCATGCCACAAGCTTATTAAGAAAGATGAACCTTTAGACAAGCTTCGAAGCATAAATTGCAAATTTGGAGTTTCGTATGCATATTATGGAGATATCTTGAAGGCTTCTGTTTGGCCTTCTGGTATAAATGTCCGACCATTCCGCTTTTTTCAATGGGAAGCCCCTTCGGAAGCGCACAAGTAGTTTGAATTCTGGCAACTGTAGCTCAGCCCCTAAGGGTCTTCAAATTTATTTTCAAAATATGTCTGGAATGCGGACTAAAACCAAAGAGATATTTTTATCAACGTCCCGCGTTGACTTTGATGTCTATCTTTTTGTGGAAACATGGCTGAATGCTGACTTTCATGACGAAGAGTATTTTAATCCAACTTTATTTAATGTATTCAGGAAGGATAGAGATCCGGTGAAGACTGGCCACTCCAAAGGTGGTTGCGTCCTAATCGCCTTAAAGCGCTGTATCCGCTCGTCGTTACATCAATTAGGGATTCTAGATACTCTCATAGACCAAATTTGTGTTTGTGTCCATGGATCGCTTGGAAAATTATTCATTTGCACATCCTATATCCCGCCTAATAGTACGGACTATCTATACAGCTGTCATGTTGACAATATCGTCGATCTTTGTGAGCAGAATCCTGACTCTTCGTTTTGCATTCTTGGCGATTTCAATCTTGCAGATATAGTCTGGTCCGACCTACAAACAAATGGTTTCCTGACTCCAACACATGTAAACAGGACGTACGAGATAAATTTTCTGGATAGCCTGCTTAGTTTAAACTTAATTCAAATTAATTCATTATCTAATAAGTTGTCTAAAATTCTTGACCTTGTCTTTGTTGATGAAAATTCAATATTTAACTTAGAGGAATGCAGTTTTCCGGTTAGTAAAACTGATATGCATCAAGTGCCCATAATTATTTACTTGGAAATGTTTGATAATTTCACTCCAAGGAATATAACGTCTGGGTTCTTTAACTTCCGCGATGCTAACTTTCAGGCTTTCGATATTGCCTTGTCTGAAATCAACTGGCACTCTGTTTTTATTTCTAAGATCGTCTCAGAGTGTCTTGATTCTTTTGTGTGCACACTGAATAATCTTTTTTCTAAATATCTTCCGCTGCTGCCGCCTAGGATTCATAGATTACCTTGGTACACAAGTAGACTCAAGAATCTTAAAAACAAAAGAAACAAGTATTATAAACTACATAAAAGTCAGCTCGATAATGTTAATCTCAAGGCTAAATATATATCTTTCATGAGACAATTTAATATCTTGGATAAATTTCTTTATAACAAGTATATTAGTAAATTTGAGTCTGATTTGAAGGAAAATCCCAAAGCCTTCTGGAGCTTCATCCGTTCCAAATCGGGCTCCTCAAATATACCTTCCTGTATGTACTATAATGGTAAGTGTTCTGAGTGGATTAGTGATACTGTCGAATTTTTCGCTGAGTTTTTTAAATCAAATTTTGTCGTTGATGACAACTCCCACAGGTTTCCAGTTAACTCTTGTCCTCCACAAGGTTTAGACTTTGGATCGATGTCTTTGACAGAATCTGACATTATCAGAGGCATATTCTCTCTTAAAAAGTCTTTTAAATGTGATTCCGACGGTATTTGTCCCTTTTTCCTTAAGCAATGTCATTCCTCCGTTTGTGTTTCACTGTGTATGATCTTCAATCTCTCTCTTCGTTCAGGTGTTTTCATCGAGCGCTGGAAAGCAGCGTCCATCACTCCCATCTTCAAGTCAGGTCGTAGGAATGATGTTTCTAATTACAGACCTATCTCTAAATTAACTGTTTGCTCCAAGCTTTTTGAGAAGGTGGTAATGGAGAAACTATCTTTTGCCCTAAAAAGTATCGTGAATCCTCGTCAGCATGGTTTTGTCGGTGGTCGTTCTACCGTAACGAACCTCGCTGTTTTTTCTGAATTTTGTATATCTGCGTTCAGAAATGGGTCCCAAGTGGACAGCATCTATACAGATTTCTCCAAGGCGTTTGATAAGGTATCACATTCAATTTTGCTTCGTAAATTAAGAAGCATTGGTTTCCATTCGGTTTTCTTAAATTGGTTAAAGTCATATCTTACAAATAGAACACTGTTTGTTGAAATTGAAAACTGCAGGTCTTCTCAATTTGCCGCTACTTCGGGGGTGCCCCAAGGCAGTGTGCTTGGTCCGCTGTTGTTCGTCCTGTTTATTAACGATATCGGGTCCTGTTTCAATAACTCTGATTACCTGCTGTATGCCGATGATCTGAAACTGTTTCCTAAATCAATTGTGTCTCCGATTCGCGGTTACTTCAAGAAGATCTGTTTAATCTCGAAGTATGGTGCCAAAAAAATATGTTATCCCTCAATATAAAGAAATGCTTCCATATGACCCTCGCTAAAACATCTAAAGTTTTTCTAACCAACTATTATATTTCAAATGTACAACTCGCTTCTGTTAATGACTTTGTTGATCTTGGCGTCGATTTTGACTCTGGGTTCACCTTTGTTAATCACATATGCCATATTCTTCCGAAGGCTTACAGGAACCTAGCTTTTCTGCGAAGGCATGCGAAGGATTTTAAGGATCCCTATACAAGGAAAACTCTCTTTAACTCTCTTGTTCGTTCAAAGCTTGAATATGCCTCGGTTATCTGGAGTCCTATATATAATTGCCACGCACTTCGTATCGAACGTGTCCAGAGAAAATTTATTCGGTTTGCCCTTCAGCCCCTTCGATTCTCTGACCCTCTTCCGCCCTATATAGCTCGTTGCAAGCTTTAGATTTAAACTCTCTTGAGTGTAGAAGACATGTCCATTCCCTTATGTTTGTTTATGACCTGATTTCTGGCGTCATTGATTGTCCGGAATTACTTGTGCATATCGGTTTCAATGTCCCGAGCAGAATATTGCGGTTTGTCCCGCCGTTTTATGTTATCCCCTCTAAAGCTAATTATTGGGCTCAATCCCCGATTTGGAGGGCTCTCACTGAACTTAATGCAATTTCAAAAAATTTATATATTGAATTTTCTATTAGTAGGCAGTCTTTTAGAAGTTTAATTGAATCTGTGTACTCCTAGTGTAGTTCTTAATTTTTTACCTATTAATTTTACTCTAGTCTGTAAGATTCTTTGTAATCATAGACTCAATAAACACTGAATTGAATAAAGTCATATGCGATGCAATAAAATTGATGCTTCTTCAATCTATTACGGAGACTGAATATGCTTCAACAACTGAAGTTTCTCGTTGTCGCCAATTTAAAGTTTTAGCCAATGCAAAATCGTATTTACTTGCGTATTTTTATTACTGTTTGTACACTTAGAGATGTGCTAAGTAATGTTATTTGTTAAGTTAAATATGTACATATCTATATATACATAAATATCACAAGCATTCCTGCATTAGGACGAGTCAGTTACTTTTTTATTTTTTAAATGTTTTTCTAAACTTGGAATTTTTGTAAAGCGAATTCTAGACTGTCAGCCTTCGCGAGTCTAAGGTTGAAAATTTTCAGCTCACACTTCCTGACTCACCCTGAAGAGCTCTCCGGCATTGAAGTTAGCCCCATAAGTAATCGGCTTGCAGCGTTTCGGCGACTAAGTAATGATCTCTGTGCAGATTTAGTTTCTAAGAAAAGTTCGAATCGTTTTCAAAGCGATTTTAGGCGTTCGATAGCATTATTTTTGTTTTCGTTAGGCATGTTATATT